TGTTTTTTAAGCTTTAACTTAAAAATGGTTCCATAAAACAACACATAAAAACAGTGAAAATATGCAACATATGCCTAACAACTGAGAAAGAGAATGACTCATTTACAATAACTGCAGACAAATCATAATATGATTAAAATACAAAGTCTATTTCCACCAAGTATTCAAGTGTGATTTTAACAATATGATGCAAATTGAAATATTTAAGGTACTAGCTTACTTAAAAGTTGCTTTTTCATAGTTATTCATTTACAATATTTATTTAACATATAATACTACTGATGAAATTTGAGATCATGCTATTTTTCTCTACCCTCTTAAAATTATTTAAGTTTAGCTTTTTCCTGTTACAAGTATTGTATAGGTGCACACACACAGAAGCAAATGAAAAAAACAGTAACAAAAACCCCCTTTCTAACAATCAATAGATGAGTGCAATGATATTCACTCTAAGTTAATCTCCAGACATCCAAATTCATGAATAAAAATTCATCAGTTTTAAATACACTGAGCCTATTAAGCAAGAACAAAAGCATATGCACAAAAGAGCTTTTAATATATTTCAAAGCCCACAAGAGCCACGGTCTCATTAAAATTATAAATTACACAAACATGGAATGAAGATTCAAACGGCAGTGCAGCTAAGCAGATTACAGAAAAGCCCGCGTTCCATATGATAACACACCATGGCCCTCCCAGATGGGGGCTTGGAACAAAAAGGCCATCACCACAGCTAGGGAAAACCTCCTTGTGATCTCTGGTTTCTGTTCAGCACATGACAGCCAAATAATATGTTGATTATTCTGTTTGTGCTGCTAAGCTTGTACGATGGAATAAAAGCGATATGATCTATTGTGAACCCAATGCTAATGTGTTGCTCCACTCATAAGTAATATATTGATTTTATTTTGAAATTATCTTTTATCTGAATATCAGCTTTTAAATGCATGAATTAAAATAAAAGACAGAATAAAATAATAGTTAATTTAATACTTTAAACTAAAAAATGCAATTGACAAGTAAAGACCAAGCTTAGTGAGAAGTCAGGTCTAATCACCCACCTTTCTTTAACTTCTGCATTGTGATGAGTGCATTTTAAAATATGTCTTAAAATGGAAAATTATTCTCATTATGAAATATAAAAGTAACACAGTAATAATTAACTCACTAATATACATTACTGACTAGATAAAAACAAAATAATTAGGGTATTCAAAAGCATAACTCTGTAATGTAAATAATAGCACACATTAGAACATATAGTGACATTTTGAAAAAAAATAATTGAAATCTCATGTTTACAACTTCACCACAAATAATAATCATGCAGTCCTACTTAAAATAATTTAGAAGACACTTAAAATTTTTAACTGGAGCTGTCAGCATTAATACATTGCCTTGGTGACAAGAAGTTAAAATCTAATTTTTCTTTCCATTAAAAATGTATATTTAATATGCTAATCTTTAATAGAGGGAATTATACCTAACTTAGGTTACTAGGATTATCTACAAATGCTTCATGAAATTATATATTCATAAATAAATATTTATGAATATAAGTATCACTAAAAAGGAAAGCTGTACATTTGTTTTTCTGCTCCAAAAATTTCTTTCTGATAACACAGTGGATTCTCCTTGAAGACAAGTAACAAAACAAAGTAGCAACAAAAGAAGCACAAACAACAAATGTGAATAAACAGTTCTATTCTCCTAAGGAGTTATTTTGCAGAAAATGACCCTTCGTCACCTAAGTCCAATTTCCCTTGGCTCTCTCTCCAGATATAGTCTTAAGTCCAAAACATGGAGCAAAATTGCCACACAAGAAAATACAGTCTAGAATGGTTAAGTCTAAAGACAAAATAAATATATGCTTAGAAAACTTAGCATATAACATACCTAAACTTATACAATTAACATTTCTATATCTATCTATATATTCAATATTAAATAATCTCTAACCATAGGTCATCTTAGCATACATCTTAGCATACATTTAAGGTCTTTAATAAAACAAATTATAATTACATCATTCTTTTCCATCACTCTGTAACTGCTTTTGTCAAGATGTATCAAATTTCTCATATTCCTTTAAAGTAATTATCTTGCAATGATAACTATATTCCAGATGAACATATCATTTATCGGTAATAAATGATATATATGATAACTATATTCCAGATGAGCATATCACTTATTGGTAATAAATCTTATTTTTATTTATGTTTGGTTTTTGAGACAGGATCTCACTGTGTAGTCCATATTGACCAAGAACTGCTATGTAGATCAGACTGGTCTTGAACTCAGTGATCTTGCTGAGATGGCTCCCAAATGCTGGGATTACTTGCATGCACCACCACACCCATTTCAGACAGATTATTTTGCTAATTATAGCTTTTATTTTTTGTGTATATGAGTGTACCTGAGCCTATGTATGTGCACCACATGTACACAGTAGCTACAGAAGCCAGGAGAGATTACTAGTTATCCTAGCACTAGAGTTATGATTGGTAGTTCGCTGCCATGTGGTTGCTGGTATTCTAAATTCGGTCCTCTGTAGTAAGTGCTCTGAACTACTTAGCCACCGTTCTAGCCCGTCTGAAATATTTTGTAAAAGGTGATAGTAACTAGGATTTTTGATGAATGTTCATTGCAATGACTTTTTAAATTTTCTAAAAATAAACACACCAAATAGTTGCTAAATGCAGAAAAGACTTGATATTCACAGCAAAGGGTTAATATAAAAGAATAAAGATGAATGTAACTCAGATAACGCTTTAAAACAAAATGTTGAATGAAATAAAGAGAATAGATACTATTTTATAAAGAAAAAGAGGCAGGTGGTGGTAGCCTTTAATCTTAGCCCTCAGGAATCAGAGATGGGTAAATCTCTGTGAGTTAATGACCAGCCTGGTCTACAAAGCGAGTTCCAGGACAAACAAGACTACACAGAGAAACCCCATCTTGAAAAACAAAAACAAACAAACAAACAGAAATTCTTTGGGGCTGGAGAGATGGCTCAGAAGTTAAGAGTACTGACAGCTCTTCCAGAGGTCCTGAGTTCAATTCCCAGCAACCACATGGTGGCTCACAACCATCTGTAATGGGGTCTGGTGCCCTCTTCTGGCCTGCAGACATACACTCAGACAGAGTATTGTATGCATAATAATTAATTAATTAATTAAATACTTAAAATGAATGAATGAATGAATGAATGAATAAATAAATAAATAAATAAATAAATAAATAGCGCTGACTGCTCTTTCAGAGGTTCTGAGTTCAATTCCCAGCAACCATATGGTGGTTTACAACCATCTATAATGAGATCTTGTGCCCTTTTCTGGACAGTACACTGTATACATAATAAAGAAACTTTTTTTTTTAAAAAAAGTGGTGCATTGAAATATGTGCAAGCAAAAAAAAAAGGACCCATATAAACAAACATGCCAAAAAAATTAAGAAAAAGAGTCAAAATATAAACATATTGCTTAGGAACACACATGAAAACTAAAAATTATATATAAGGAATATAAATACAGCAAAAGGTAGACTATTTATTACTTCTAAAGAAATGAGAGACTATGCTAGACATGGTAAAATACAGTCAACAGTCTCAGGATGCTTGAGAACAGGAATGGGAAACCATCAATAGTTAGACTCCTCACTAGGGAGAAGGAGAGGGAGAGTGAGGGAAGGGAGAGAACTGCATTAGATTGCAGAGTGCTAGTGATGCTCCAGGCACATGGAAATTTGGGTCTGTTATACAGGTATTCACAATTAGTCCATATAGTTGCCTATGTTTCTTTATAACCTTACATTATGCAATGTGGTTTTAAATTATGTATTATCTGTGATAATGGATTCTTATCATGTATTCTTGCAATATTTTTTTTTGGCTGAGAAAAAAAGGTTCTTTCTCTTATTATAAACAATTTACATTTTTGGTCAACTTTTATAATTTTTGCTGCAAAGTAACAAAGAACTATTACTATGCCTACTTTTTGATAATTCCAATTAAGTATGGCTTTCACATGCTTGCAATAGCTCTAAAAATATAGGAGGCCTGTAAATAATGTAAAACCAACTGTTCTGCTTAACTTTCACTTATGGAATTAATGCTATTTCTGCAACTTTTCTTATTTTCAAACTAAAAGATGCATACTTATTCTAAAAATTCCAGATTCCAACTAGATAATTTTATGCAAGTTGCACTGACAAAAAACTAAGAATATTTAGCTTGAAGATAGGAGAAACATAGTTTCTTTCTTCTCTCATACGCTTTAATCAATTCTAGGAGGACTTCTGTATATGTATGATAAGGTCTATGACGGATTAGCTGCAGATATAATATTTGCTGTCAGACCCACCGTCACTCTGTGAAGTATACTCTCTATATGCTACCAAACAAAGCATCTGGAATAGGGTAGAGAACAAGGTATATAATATTTAAAAATGTCTATAAAACATAAAGCACATAGGTTGTTCATTTAAATCCAATACGATCTAGTTTGCGTAGACAGAAATCATTTTGTTTCTACAATAGCATATGAAAGCACAATTGTTAAAACAGGTATCATTATAATAGTATACCTGACTTACACTACAAATCAACACACACACAACTAAGGAAGTTATTTAAGGAACACATTGACAGGCATCCCTGAATATATGTTTGCGGACCTTTAAATGCCACTAAACAGAAAGCAACCAGCAACACAAGAGGATCAGCCTTCTCATTGCATCTTACTAGATTGTCAACACCGTGGCAACAGCAGAGTGCGACTTTAAGGATCACTTTTGTGACTGTAGCAAGGACCCCTGGTGTGGGGAGGGAGAGCAGTCAAGCAGTTCTTTGCTCACCTACTTAGTGCCAACCTTAGGAAGCCACATTTTGTCCAGTAGGGAGCAGCCTTACAACAGCCAAAGGACTTAACTTGAACATGAAACCCACAGAAAAAAAGCGTTTTTTTTTTCCCTTCTGTCTTTTTTTAAAGTCCACTTACCATAGGTCTGTTCTACAATTCATTCAACTTTAGCGTAGCTGCAAGGACTTCAGGAAAACCCAAGTCTAAAGGAGGTCTCGAGGCACATGTGAGTCATCCATGGTTGCAGATTCCTAAAGCAGTAAATCAAAGCTGTTAGGTCATCTCGGACCAATGTTGGGCTACATTAATGTATTGTGCGAGTAGACATTTCTCAGGGAATTGTATCTTTAAGTGAGGCAGCAGGAGTCTTCACAAGAGATATTAAATAGCATTGGACCTTTATCAAATGATAATATTAAAGTCTTTTATCTAAATGAAAATTTAAGAAGAAAGAAATGAAAAGACAAAACAAGATAGCAGGTTCGGTAAAAAGCTGAGCACTGCAGTCAAGGAGTTGATGAGACAGCTATGCAGACTTTTACAGATCAGCATGCATATCTAATGTCATCTTTTCTTTGTGGACAGGGATTTTCTATGTAGCCTTAGTTGTCCTGGAACTTGCTTTGTAGACCATATTGCTTCAATTCAGAGATTTTCCCGCCCCCAGAGTGCTGGGATTAAAGACCAGACACCACCATGTTCAGCTAATTTTAAAAGTGTAAACATAGTAGAAATTAGTTCATAATGCTGTTGTAAAAAATGATTAATCATTTAATGAATATGATGACTGCACATGATAATGATACTATAGAAAGAACTCAGTCAATTGAAGGGCAAAATAATTTTAATGTGAAAAACCTATGATATATTTAGCTATCATAACTCAGCATCAGTTTTATCACTTAAAGACACAAATAATTGTCTCTGCTTCTACTTGAAATGCCAAAGTTTGCATTGCACGAGCTTATATATGGCTTTTCATCAGCCACACCAAAAAAAACCAATTTATGGTTTCAAAAGATGATTATCAATCTTCAAGTACATATAATCTGGGATTTTGTGCAAAAGTCTTCTTAAATACATTCATTCATTTACTTACAGGCACTATATCTAATCTTAATCTGATTGTATTGCAAGTCTCAAATGCTCTTATATTTATGCCACTCATGGAACTATTTCCTTACTTATGTAAGCATTTGAATCCTTCCTAAACATTTTAGAGCCAACATCAAAATAGCCAAACTTCACCTTTGTTCCAATCAGTTAAAGACCACCATGATTTTAATAAAGATGTCGTTTAAGATCTTGTTATAACAATGTATACTGCGCAACAAATTTCTTTAAATCAACAGAACTTTAGTGTTATTAATGTGTATACATATATATAATATCTTCAACAACTTCTAGTATAAAAGCTGAAAGTGATGTCTTCAGCAACCTCTAGTACTGATATTAACACAAAGAGTATTAGCATGTTAAGAAACATGTTTATTGGGAGGGGTGTGCATGCCTGCCAGAGCATCCATGGAGAGAGAAGTCAGAGGACAGCTTCCTTGAACTGGTTCTCTCCTTCTACCATGTGGTCCTAGAGGGGGAATGTCTGGTAGCAAGCACCTTTAATCATCAAGAAATCTCATCAATCCATGAGTTATTTCGTCAATCCATGAAATAATTTTATCAACTAATTATGCATCAGCTCTTAATTTTTGTAAATACATTTCACAAAAGTTTGCATATAAATGACTATTATCCAAAAGAGACTTGAGAGAATAAAGTAATGTCTTACTTCTCAAATTAATATCTACTTAGAATCATAGCATATGACTATAGATCATTTGCAATGTAATTAGGTAAGGCTCAACATAAGATTATACTAGATTAGAGATGTAATAAACCTAATACAAATGGGCTAATAAGACAGAGAACAATACACAGAGTCATGAGTAGAAGATGTTATATAACTGGAGACAGAGATTGGAGCTATGGTTTTACAACCAAGAATATCAAGAGCCAGCAGAAGCCAGAAAGGAAGAATCATTTCTTAAATATCTGGAATGAATATGGCTCTGCTGACAATCAGACCATACTTTTTACTTCCAATGTTCTGAAAAAGTTAGCTTTCTGTGAAGCCACCAAGCATATATCAGTTCCTTATGGTGGTCCTAGGAAATTCTTGTAGATTCTGGCACATGAAGTAGGGTGCTGTTCTAGCAGAGGCTTACAACAGAAAAGCTTAGGTGCTTTAAAGAGGCTCTATGTAGAAATACACAGCTCTCTTCCGAGTATCACACCTACGGGAGATCTTGGTTCAAAATGACAAGTTGAATAACACTTCTTTCAAAAATAGCTCTGAAACAATAGTCTGTTTAACTATTATTCGTAAACACTGAAGACAGTGAGGAGCTTGACCACACTAGAGACCTTGAAGGGTTGCTACAATATGAGGTATATAAAATCACAGAGACAGGTAGAAAACAGCACGGCACACAGACAGACTGACAACAGCTCATACAATAAATCTTGAAGCTGCCACTTACTTTTGTGGGGCAACAAAAAGAAGTGCCATACTCTTGACTTTCAAATGGCTCAAAGGAAAAGACTATGCTGTGATATATGAAAACTACACGAAACTCACATTTCAGCTTCTAACATAGCTGTGCTCAACTGCAAATGCCAGCTCTTGTGGTTTACTCATGGAAGAGACGAGCAGCTTCCAAGCATACACACCCTTCTACTTTTAAGTCATTCAAATGACTGTTGAGGACTTGCTTTCTGCTTAGACCACTAAAAATATAAGAATATGTATCCTATGTACTGGTGACATATTAGAGATGAAAGCGACCATTATCAAATCTCTCTGGTTGATAGGTTGTTGCTAAAGCTTGAGATTTGTTGCCTTCTCGTCCTCCCCCTCCCCCGAATATGATTCTTTATTTTTTATTTTTTGTCTGTCAGTTTTTGAGACATGGGTCTTATGGAGCTAACACTAACCATGAACACCTGATTCTTCTTCTCCACCTCATTAGGATTATAGGATTGAGTCCAGGCCTGAATATGATGCGAGCAGGCAGGGAGGCAGGGAGGCAGGAAGGAAGGAAAAAAGAAAGAAAAAAAATACAAAGTAAAGTTGTTGTGATGGCATTTCCTCTTAGGCCCAGCACCAGAAGGAAAAGGCAGGCAAATTCTGTGAATCCCAGCCATTCAGGACTATATAGTGAGTCTGCGCCTCAAAACGAACGAATAATGAATGAATGGATGGATGAATGAATCCATGTACCATTCATCACTGTCAACAGTAATTCAGTATCACAGGTGTTGACTTGGAACTCATTTTTAGTTCAAACATTGCTTATCTAGAATGTCTTTTAAAAATCACTTAACCAATTCCTCCTCCAGTTCTCATCTGAAAAGAAAAATTAAACCACACAACTCTAAATTACATGGGTTTTCTCCCACAAATAAAAAGTAGGAACCCTCGCCACTAAGATTTCGCAACCACTAGAAAATGAATTTAATTCTTCTCAGATGTCAGGGGAGAGAAACCTTAGGTATTTTTTTTTTTTTTGGCAGCTGCTTTAGAGAGCGACAATTAAATGTGTGAAGAAGGTTGTCAGAGTAACACTTGTCATTCACTGCTTAGGAAAGACTCTCCAAGATTTCCAGAAATCCTAATTAAAATTAAGGGTAGCTGGTCTTGCCAGAGAGGTATAGTCTCTCAGACAGTAGAGAAAGCACAGTGGCCTCGACGTTCCTAAAGGGAAGTTTCTAAGTAAAGTTCTGGGCTCTAACAGGCTAAGTCCAGGCGCTAACCAGCCACTGGGGTCACCCTTACATCCTTCCCAGACAGCACAACCATTCGAGAATAGATGGTCTCGCGTGGGGAAGACGAGGATAACTTTCCTTAGAAACCAGAAAGGCGAGCGAAGCGCCTCTCCCGGAGCTAAACAGCAGGGAAAATGAGAGCTCTCCAACCGGCAGTGGCGAGCGAAGCCCCGCGGGCGAATGGCTCCTCCACCCTTTTCTGTAATTCCGCGTGGACGCGGGCGCTCGCAAACCACAGATACCAAAGGACTTTACCCACCTGCGGCCCCAAACACCAACAGAAGTTCCTCAACCAGAACTCTAGCAGACCTGGTCAACCAGGGACGCGTACAAACCTCCGGCTTGACGTACAGAGCACTTTTCAGCAATAGGCCTGGCGATTGGCTGAGTAGCAAGGGTATTCTCATTTCTATTGGCTATCAGTGGAGAGTAGGCGGGACTTTGGGGCTGTCTCTGACGGGCCAGTCGCTCGAGTTCCCAGAGTTCCTATTGGCTCGTCGCGGGAGCTTCAAGATGGCGGCGACAGCTACCTGCGGCGCGGGCGTCCCTAGCCTGGCATCCACAGCCGGCCTGAGCGGCACCACCAGCTTTCAGAGGAAAAGCAAGGCCTCTGGGGCTGATGGAGGTGGCCCTCGGCTGCTGTCCATTGCGGGCACGCGACCGTCGGTGCGGAATGGACAGCTGCTGGTGTCAACCGGGCTCCCAGCCCTGGACCAGCTCCTAGGTCGGTTCTGATTGAACATGAGGGCTCAGCCCAGGGAAAACTTGGGGAGGGACCCCTGGGGCAGCCCCTCATCCCCACGCCCTGCCCAGTCCTGCCCAGCCCTGCTCATCCCTCTCCCCTTCACAAACGTGGTCAGTGTAGCCTGCTATGATAGAGACAGGATCGGAAGACTTGCATGGAGATGTCTTGAGATCTGTGCACGACGTCCGTCTTGGGACCTACAACCCTTAACTCCGCTCTACCCAGCAACTCATTTCCAGATGACCAGGACTCCCTACGTGCTTTTACCCTAAAGTGATTCCTAGTGAAAAAGAAACATGGAAAGGAATTGGCTTTTAGAATCCTCTGCTGGTCTCTATGGCACTCTCCCTCCTATCCAGGTAGCTTAAAGCTGGGACTAACCTACAGAACTTTTTAGCGTTGTAAGAGAAGGTTTTCTTTAGAAAATCCTAAAAGTTTTCCCCCTCTTTTTTTCCCACTGTGGGCTACTTATCTCCTTAAATCATAAACGGTGTTGGATCTAGAAGTGTGGATGTCAAAGATGTGTGTTGACTCAAAGGAGTGACAGTCCTTGATATTTAGATAGTTCTGCCCCGAGTATCTTCAATATGTCCATAAGTTATGTCTGAATGCTGCTTTTTAAACACAGATGTGTGCTAACATTTTGTAAGCTATTTTTCATAGTATTTGCTATGTGTCTGTTACATATGGTACATTTGCATAATGTATTACAATTGCCACTGCTTTTTCTTGTACTTAATTTAGGATTTTCTCTGGGTTATATTCCAGGCTTTTAAAGTAAGTTTATCATATAACAAGACAATCTTCAGAACCAGTATGGTTTCTTGACTCTATTATTTCATGTTCTAAATGGATTCTGATTCTTTTCTCTATAAATTTAAAGTAGTTTCACGTAATTGTTTTAAACACATTGAGTTGTGTGAGGTTAAAACCGGAATTCAAAATGCATAGTTGGTGAATATTCATTCACTTTTTTCCCTTATGGCCTTAGTTGTTATCCTAGGTTTGAGCCAAACTTTAAAGTACTGGCCCATTTGAGTGAACTCTTATACAGACAGAAATTAATCTGTAAGCTTTAATGGCAGTAGATCTTTCCTATCAAACTAACCTGTCAATCATTTCTCCTCCTTAAATGTTCATATTCTTAATTAAATGGGATAGGTACATTTATTCTGTTGGTAGTAATCAAACCCTACAAACAAAAAGACTACATTTCAGTACTGGGCCTTTATTTTCTCATTAAAATAACAAGATGTGCCTAGACCAGAGCTTGGCATTCCGTAAGTTTTTATACCGTCTTGATAGAACAAGGAAAAAAAAAAAGACTAAAGGAAGTATAAGTATGAAAGATAGAGTTTGGCTTTTGAGCTCCAAAAACTGATTCAGAGATTTAATGGTATGAACATTCACAGAACTCACGACTGAGTAGTGCACGGAGCTTCAGAGTCCCGTTCAGGCATCTCTGTACATCTTTGCACAGCTATTGCTAATTTTTGAGAACGGTTTTCAGGGAGTTCTGATGACTTTCTGAACTTAAGATTAATTATTTAACTACAGTTTCTTCACATCTGCCAAAAAAAACCAAGGGCGCCTCTCATCTGTATCTCTACAGACACATATACTTGGTCGATAATGTTTGAACTTTTCAGAAATACTTGGGCAGTGGGAGATTCTCATATTTGAGTATAACACGCTGAAAATTAGTGTTGACTAAGCTCAAAATAGTCTCAGTTGTTGAAATGTATGTATTGCGTGATTAAAGTTAATTTGCAAGGTACATAGAAATTCAGAATGCTGTAATAATGTTACCGTGTTTGGATTAATAAATATGCCCAGTTGTATTTCAGTTTTTTTAACTTCGTAATGACATTTTTGTAATTTGATTTCCTGTCTTGTGTGTTTTCTGGAGCAAAAAATTTTAATTTGTTTTTCATTAAAACATTTGGAAGAGAAACATCTGTTGCTAATGTATATTCAGATAAGAATAAGGACTTCGGGTTAAATTTTTACTTTCAAAAGTTACTTTATTCAAATAGTGAAAAGGCTTATATGACCCTATGGTGATAAAATATAATGGTAGAGGGACATTATAAATGAAAATATACTATGACACTGTGAGCACATAACAAGCTAATATTGTATTATACTCACTCTGTGGTACAGTGAAACTTTACTACTGCCACCTGACATCAGTGTAATTTTAAACATAATTGCAAACATATTTGAAACCCATCACATAGAATGATTGAATGTTAGCTATTTGGTAATTCATTGCTTCCATTACTCCGATCAAAATGTCTTTCAAATCTGAACATACATTCCCCCTTGTCTTTATTTTATTTTTGTTCTGTCGATACAATTTTATTATTGGGTTTTCATATATGTTTCCCAAGTTGGCAATATTTAAATTTTAGAAGTTTTTGTTTAGACATTCTAATCTGGGATTTTCTTTAAGATTTATTTTATTTTTATTTATGTGCATGTGTATGGACTTAGGCATGTTAATACAGTCATCCCCAGAGGCCAGAAGAGGTCATTGGATCCCCTGAAGCTGGAGTTGCTGTTTGTTGAAAGTGGCCTGGTGTGGGTTATGGGAATCAAACTTGGATCCTCTACAAGAGCAACAAGTCTCTTAACCACTGAGCTATGTATCTATGCCAGTAACCTAGGTATTTAACTTTGTCTCTTTCAGGGCATTTATATTGTTGTTTGAGGTCACTATAGTTAAATAATATACATTTCAGAAAAGGAAAGTAATTTAGCTAAATAGATATTCTAGGAATTTCTAAGAAGAATTGTTGTCAGTCTTGAGAGGTTCTTGAAGGAAGGGTGACTTCACAGATTTGTCTGAAGGAACCTCTGCCCTGTTCAGAGTTTATTCAGTTTGACAGTCAAAGGACAGTAGGTGGGGTTTGTTGTAAATAATAGTCCAGCAGAAGTTTTATGGAGAAGCTTGTTGTGGGGGCCACCATTTTTTAAAACTGATTTTAAAGCATAATGTAGTTGGTATGCTTACTTCGTTGTCATCAGTATTGTGGGATAGTATACATTAAGCTTGGGCTTTATAGTTAATAATTTTTATTATAGTTTAGGTAGCTGGCTATCCAACTAAAGAAACTATATCTCTTTTCTATTATTATGTAAAGCTGTTTCATATGATTTAATCTCCGAAGACATTTATCCCTGTTCATAACTTTGGCTTCCATATTTGCCCACTTGTTTCTGAATCATAGGCCAGGATATTTGATAACTTAAGACATAAACACATTAACAAAATTACCACAATTTAATTTGACAGGCTGTATTAATTTGAAGATACTGCACCAAGCTAAGGAAAAAGTGAGCTTGCTTTTTACATTTCACTTTTCCAGTAGTGCTTTCTACACATTGATATATTGCCTAATTTCTGTAGTTTCTCCTTTTACATTCACCAACTTTGAAAAATAAGGTATCACTTCCAAGCATTAATTTTACCTCATTTACCCAACGTTTGTAACTTACAAATGGGGGGGTACAAGACAGAAATTTTCACATTAAAATAGTGCTGATAATGGTTGACGGTTGTCTAACTACTCCCCCATGGATCACGAAACTGTGTCAGACAGCTTTTAACACTTAAAATTCTTATCTTATTTTTGGCTTGTTTGTTTGTTTGTTTGCTTGTTTTTTATTTTATTTTTGTCGGGACCAGCCTCGACAAAAATACCTCTTGCAAGGGTAGAAAGCATGGGGATTTAGAAAATATTAGTAAAGAGTATGAAGACGTGAATGAAAGTGATAAAATGGAGAAACATAGAATAGTATCAGGAGGAAATTCCAGTGAGTACTGAAATTAGCCTGCATTTAATTTCCAACTGCTTAAAATACCCCGGACCCCCAAAAATAGGAGTAAGACTAAAAACATAATATAAGGAAGTGAACATACCAATTGAAGGTTGTGGGCTGCAGCCAAAGTTAAACTTTCTGTTGCTAGAAGAAAATGTTGCTATTACAAAACAAGTTGACACACAACATTCTGTAGGCAAACCACTCCCTGGGTAAAATCCAAAGTTATCTCCTTGAGGGAATTGGAACTTAGTTGGGTCCTTAGACTTTTGTTTGAACAGATTTACTTCCCTATTCCTGAAGTACCAGGTTGACCATAACCTTGAAAGAGTCTGACCTAAATCTAGGTGGGACCTTTGTTTGGTAGAAACAAAATAACCTTGGAGGAATATTCTCTGCCCTTTGATCAAAGTGAAAACAGGCTCACATTTTCAGGCCTCCACAATGGATTTGTTAGTTTTTTGAGACAGATTCACTACATAGCCCTGGCTGATCTGGAACTCACTGTGTAGACCATGCTTGCCTTTGCCTCCCAAGTTCTAGGACTAAAGGCATATACCACTATGCCCAGCTCTGATCTTTTTCAAATATTAAATTTATTCCTGTTTTAACATAAAATATTGTCTCCCAGCTTGAACTATGAATATTCTCTGTCAAACATTAAACAACAGAAGTCCACCAATACATTTTCTAAGTTTAGATAGCCTTTCCATTTCCTTTTTCTACTTGTTTTTGTCACCAATCTAAAATTAAAGTATCCACTAGAGCTCATTAGGGGAAAAATACCCTTGTCTTAAATCATAAGTCGT